TATTGTGTCAACATATGCATGCTCCCACTACTATAGACTGGGTCTCTCTAAAGAGAGTCCTGCGGTATGTCAAAGGCACCCTGAATCTTGGCCTGCGTGTTTCTCGGTCTACATCTATGGATATTCACGCCTATTTTGACTCAGATTGGGCTGGCGATCCGAATGACCACAAATCTACTAGTGGCTTTGCTGTGTTCTTGGGCAATAATCTTATATCTTGGGTTTGTCGGAAGCAACAGACCTGCGGTATGTCAAAGGCACCCTGAATCTTGGACTTGCTCGTTTCTCTGTTACATGAAATCGGCATCCCGTCTGCGTCTCCTCCTCGACTATGGTGTGATAATTTGGGAGCTACTTATTTATGTGCCGATCCAGTGTTTCATGCCCGCACGAAGAATATTGAGATTGACTATCATTTTGTTCGCGATAAAGTAGCCAAAAAGGAGTTAGATGTGCACTTTATTTCAACCAATGATCAACTAGCGGATATTTTCACAAAGTCTCTGTCGTCTCTTCGTTTTAACTCTCTCCGTGACAAGCTCAATGTTTTGCCTACCCAACCTTGTGCTTGAGGGGGAGTATTAGGACTATATTATTCATATTAGACTAGGATTATATTATTCATGTTAGACTAGAATTCTATCTAGCAATTGAATACAACACAATTATATTCTTAGGTAGGGCTTCTTTTCTTGAAAAATCTTGGATTGGTAGATGAAATGACTGTTTTACCCCATCACAAACCAAGCTCTCATAGAGAATAATTTCGTTGTCCGTTACAGATTGTCACTTACGGATAATGATGGAATCAGAGCGAGGACAAAAGTAAAACACTTCAAAATGGAATAAAAAAAAATATTAATGAGAAAATATAAAACGTAATTAATTAAATAAAATAATTCAAACAGAAAACACAATTAAACACATTATTAATTGTGCATCATTTTTATTGATAAATACTTTTCTTTGAATACGATGACATACAATAAAAAAATGTTAAAACTAATTTAACTAGATTTTTTAAAAAATATTTTCAAATCACCAAACATATTTTATATTAATTAGTTAATCAATTTAAATAACTACTATCACAAATAACACTAATGTAGAATATACGAACGGTCTACTTTATTGTATACGGTCCTAAGTCGGTTTTGGGTTCGGATCATGTGCCTAGTCTGCTTCTGGTTTAAGTCTTTAGGCTCGAATTATGTGACAGTGGGTCAGAAGTCACCGAGCTAAAGATCAGTTAGTAGAAAATGTCAAAAGTCTCTCTCTCGGTAATAAATGCGGTATTTATAGTCATATGTAGGGAACAGGTTCCGGTCCTGCGACATGAAGGGCACGTGGAGCCCATGCACGGGCTCAAATCGAGGTCCCGAGAGGCTCATACACGTGCCTTAATGTTTATGCGGGTAAGCATCATATTGTCGAGTTCAGGGGTCGGTAGCTCGTCCCCGACCTAAATAGGTCAGGTGTGCGCCGAGTCTTGATGGGCCTATGTGCCGCGATAATTATAACTGCTCGGTACGGATGGCAATTCTACCCGCACCCAACGGGTTACCTACATCCCCGCCCCAATGGGTAATAAAATACTCGCATAATTTTGGTAATGGATGCGGGTTGGGAGAAAAGTTTTAAACCCGTGCGGATATATATGGGGGCGGGTGCGGGGAGAGGTATCCCCGCACCCGCCCCGCATATATATATATATATATATATATATATATATATATATATATATATATATATATATATATATATAATGTATTGTGTTATTATATTTAAGTCAATATCAAAATATTATATTTTTTATTATTTAATCTGTTAGATCTGATCTCTAGTAGTATAGTCTCTACTTCAACTATGTGTAAAATAATAAAACCTTATTTTCTCTTAAGTCTATCCCAATAAAATAGATAATAAAACCTTCTTTTCTCTTATCCCAATAAAATAGGCTTCTCTAAACTATAGGCTCTAGCTTACATACATCAAATAGATAGAAGAAAGCGGGCTCCTTTCATTCTCGGTTTCCAGTTTTCACTTTTCATTTGATAGCTTACAAAATAAGCCAAAATGATGAAGGGTATGAAACATCAAAAATAGAGTAGAAATTAACAAAGCAAGAAGAAGATCGAACATTGAAGAAGAACAAATTTGCAGAAAGAAGAAAAGATCTCCAGGTTAGCTAGTACAAAAAAATGACACTTTTTTTTCTCCTAATTTGATTTATCTGTTCTTGTGGCTTCCCTTTCAATTTTTTAGTTTCATTTTTAGTTCTATTTAATTTTTAAGTTTCATTCATACGATTTTTTTATAGGTTGTGAAGAAGATCGAAAGTTGAAGACTTGAAGAAGAATAAATCTGCAGAAAGAATAAAATATCTCTAGGTTATGATGAAATTGAGAAAAATCATTATAGTCGAAGACCATTTTAGGTATTAATTCAATAAAGTGGTGGAGAATGTAGTAGTGGTGATGGTGGTGGGGTGATGGCAAATTATGCTGTGGAACCGTGTACACTTTGCAAGGTGGACACGGTTCCAAAACTGTTCATAATTTAGAATATATAGTTCAAAATTATGAACATAGAGTTGTGAACGTAATTATGAACATACAGTTCTGTAATTATGAATATTGAGATTCAATAATTGTTAATATGGAGTTCAAAAATCATGAATGTATAGCTTTATAATTATGAACATATAGTTCAGTAATCATGAACATAGAGTTCTATAATTGTGGATATAAAATTCAATAATTATGAATATTAAGTTAAAAAATTATGAATATATAGCTTTATAATTATGAACATATAGCTCATTAATTATGAATATAGAACCGTGTCCACCTTGCAAGTTGTATGGTAGACATAGTTCCCCAGCGCGATTGGTGTGGTGATAGTGATAATAATAATATAGAAATTAGCTTAAAGAGAAAAACTATAAAATATCTTCCCGATTAAAATGAAGAGTAATTATTTTTCTGAAAAAATTATTTTGTTTGAATACGAAATATAGAAAAATTTAAATAATATTTTTTTTTTTTTTGGAATAAAAAGATGTTTAAAGAATAATTTTTTTTTTTTGGAAAAATAAAAGACTAATTCATTAATCATAAACATGAATGTTTACAATACAGATCGTTAGAATGACAGTGCATTTTTTACAGTCAGACATAGAAACAAATTTCCTAGTAATGTTATAGAAAACTTGGATCGCAGACTGTTTTATAAATTTGAAGCTGAAGTTGTTGGATGAACTCGGTGCTTCTTCACAGATCTGGTCAGACATAGCCAAGTCTGACTCTGATGTGACCATTTTATCTTTCCACGCTTATGAGGAGAACTCGCCAAAGAAACGAGAGGAAAACTCGCCAAAGAAACGAGAGGGAAACACTCGCCAGAGAGACGAGAGAAAACAAACTAGTCAAAGGAACAAAGAGATAACGTAGAATCAAAAGAAAACAAAATAAATGGAAAAGATGATAGAAAACCTGTCAGATCTGGAGAGTCTCTACGCCTTCTCTGAAAAAACGATCGGAGAAAATGTGAGATCTAACGCTTATTCCTAAAACAACCAGATGATGGAGTCTACTAATGGCACCGCGGCTCAACCCTCCATTAGAGCGTCAGCTGGCAGTCGAAGGATGGCGTCACAGAGCCTTTACAGATGAAAAAGATGAAAAAGGGAGAGAAAGCAGTTGTTTAATTTGGAGAGAAAGCAGTTAGTGGTATTTTGGGGTGGAAAAGTGCATTGATAATTTTAAAAGAGAAAATTACACTTTTGGTCCTGTAACTATTGTAGTCTTGTTAATTTGAGTACTTGACTTTAAAAACTATCAATATAATCCCGTAACTATGTAATTTTTAACACATTTAGTCCTTCCAGCCAAATGTTGCCAGGAAAAACGCAATTGCTTTAAAATTGTTTATTTAGAGGGGTAAGATGGTCATTTTAAGCTAAATGTTCTTCTTCTTCCTTGCTGCGCCTGCGGAAAAACAAAACCCAGCACCCACGAATAATTAAAAAAAAAAGGGGGATTATTTGTTCTTGTTTTCTACAAGAGGGTATATTTTGTATATTTTGCTTCTTCCTTGCCCAACGAAATTTGCCCAGCACCCACCTGTTGCTCGTACGATGAAAAGAAGTACGGATTGCGCTTGAGTGACTCTGCATAACTTTCAAGAATTTGCTTGCCCGCCCAGCAGCGATTAACGAGTTTCTGGAACACCTTGGGACATTCAGAAGGTAGCAGTGGTCTTGCGTTCTGAAACTGGGTCGTGTTCTCGCTATCGCATTGCGGTGACCACTGGAGGGACCAGAGGAAGCGACACCCGCTGCGATCCAGCCCGTCGGCAATCTCTCTCACTTGATTCTCCGGTAGGCTCCCTTGGCTCCGAAGCATATGAACATGGCGGATTCCGAGCTCTCCACCAACGCTCTAAACGTCCGCGGAACGATGTCGCCGCCTTCCATCACATCACTACCGCCGCTGCTATCTCGTCGGAGCTCATCCAAAATTTCACATTGAAAACTGAAAATAAATACCATACAACTTCACACACTCACAATTCCATGCATATACATGCGTGCGTGTGAATTGTGACAAGTCCGCTATAAAATTGAGAAATTCTATTTTCCAGGTTGTAGTTGGGGACAATGGAGATCTGAGCGTACCTGCAATGGAGAATCGAATTTCCTTTTAAAAAAAAAAAAAAGCTTAGAATGACCGTTTTACCCTCGTTAATAAACAATTTAAAAGCATTTACATTTTCTTAGTAACATTTTGTCGGTAATTTGACCGGCAGGACCAAATGTGTTAAAAATTGTATAGTTATAAAACTAAATTAATACTTTTTAAAATCAAGTACTCAAATTAATAAGAACACAATAGTCACCGGACCAAAAATGAAATTTTCTCATTTTTTAAAAAGTTGTTTTTCTAGTTTCGAAAAGTGGCATATAAACCTGTGGGTGTTTGGCGAAAACAGGAGTACGGGGTCAATACTGCGTAACACCCAATCCCACAATACCAACTGCAATTCTCAGCTTCTTGCCTTCTTCTTCACTGGTATATCGTCAGCTATAAATAAGCCCAGCCTTTCTGTGACCGAACGCGGAATCAATAAAATCCAAACCCCAAATTCTCGCTCAATTTCTCACCAGAGTGAGTCCAAGGCAGCCTAGCCTGAGAATGGCGGCGAAGGGGAAGAGCATCCGATTGCCGCCGAGGAAAACGGCGTTGTCGTGGGCGACGGTGTTCACCGCGCTCATAATGGTTGCCTTTTTCGTTTTAATTATCCTCGCTTTGGGGGTTATCTCGACGTCCAGAGAGTCCCCGAGAGCGCACGATCTCACCACAATCGCGCGCACCGCGACGGAGAGGTACTTGACTACTTCTACTATTATACTCATGAAATTCGACTCTGATCTAATTGTTTTTGTTGGGAATCGTTGGGTGCAGGGAAGATGATGGCGATAAAGGAGATAGGTGGGTTGAAGTGGTTTCCTGGGAGCCTAGAGCCTTTATCTATCATAATTTCTTGGTACATTCTTACTTTCTTTTTTTTTTTTTTGGTTTAAATTTAATGAATATGTGTTGCTGTGTTTATATTAATTTGGGCTGTTAGTTGTTATGACATTACACTTTAGGTGTTAACAACGTTATACCAATCCTTCCTTCAAAACTATTACATTTTATTCCTAATTTAGTATTACATTTGCTAGTATAAGTATCCGACCCCGTCTTACGGGCAAGGATCCGTGAGACGGTCTCACACAAGTTTTTGCCCACCTTATCATAAGTTTGTCAACTCTTTTCTTCAGTTTTAATGGCATTCAAAGAATACCAAGCTCTTTGTTCTGGCCTCTTTGCTGAATATCTATGCAAAATTAGAAGATATTGAGCCAAGTGAGATTCATAAGAGAAATTTAGTTGCTTGGGATGCAATGATTAGTAGTGAGTATTTGAGACTTGAATTGGCTAATCAGGCGCTTTGGGTTGATTCAGGGGAGTGTAGAAGGCAATTCATTTGCGCGGGTGAATTCTTGATTTGTGCTGTGCGGCATGATTATTGATTACATTGATAAGAAAGCAATTCAGAATGGTTTTGAGGTTAATTCTAGTAAATATGTATGTGATGTACTGAAATGTCGAAAGAAATGCCTGTAGGGAGTAACTTTGAGGCCTAATAAAACCTTGAGAAAAGATCTTCAAGTTTTTGGCCATAGAATAAGAGAGGGAGATGGGAAGAGGTAGAGAACTGAGTACAGAGGAAAGGGTTAAGTGGCTAAATAAAAAAGGTTAAAAGTTGATGACTTTTGGGGGGTTAACTGCCATTTTGCTCTAATTTTATTTGGAAATCTGTTTAGGAATTATCTTTGGATTTCTTAATTGTTGCTAGTACAAGTTTAAGTTTTATATATTTTCAAATTTTCATTTCTAATGCATACCATTTTGTTATTTTCTTTGTCAGTCGAAGGATGAATGTGAATATTTAATTAGCCTTGCCAAGCCCAGTATGAGAAAGTCAACGGTTGTTGACAATGAAACTGGCAAGAGCAAAGATAGCAGGTGAGCATCCCTGAACACTTGTGCAAACATGTGTGTTTAAGTTACACTTAGGCGATGTTTGGAAACCAGAAAAATGACTTCTGGAAAATGTTTTCTGAAAAATGAGTTATTTTCTAGAAAACATTTTCATTTCTGGTGTTTAGTTACATTCCAGAAAACTGTCTTGGTGTGTTTGGTTTATTTTCCGGGAAAATGAGCAGAAAAGAAAAGGGTCAAATACCCTAAACTTTATCCGGTCAACTCCGAAGACAAAACTGGCGTCACCGGTCGCCTTCCATCTCGCCGCCCAGGAGCTTTTTCTCTGCCTGGAAAATGATTTCTCCCCAAAAAAGGGGGAGTTTATTTACCAAAAAAATGGCTTTGTTTTCCTTATCAATTTCCATTGTCTTTAGTATTTTCCCCCTTGCCAAACACTGGAATCATTTTCTGGGTTTCCAAACACACCCTTGGGTGATGTTTCTTTTGGGCTTACTATTAACCTCTTCCTGTCAGGGTGCGGACAAGCACGGGAACATTTCTAACCAGAGGAGGTGATCAAATAATCAGTAACATCGAGAAAAGAATTGCACATTTCACTCACATACCTGTAGGTAAGCAGTTTGACAAAAGCACGGTAACTATTTGAATGTGAATAATGTTGTATGTTTTGGTGGCCGAGCATCTTAGCCTTCCAAGAGTAATTTTGAATCAAACCCATACGATATTTTGAATGAAATTCATATGATGTCTCCAGAGCTTAGTAAGAGTTGAAAACTACCTTACCTTAATGGCATTATTATGTGACAGTGCTTCTCTCGAGCATCCCTAATTTCTACGATAGCCATGAACTTGAAATGTACAAACTGTCTCTTGTGCTTATGCAGAAAATGGCGAAAGCCTTCAAGTTCTCCACTATGAAGTGGGCCAGAAGTATGAACCCCACTATGATTACTTTGCTGATGAATTTAATATTCAGAATGGGGGTCAACGAGTGGCCACGCTACTCATGTACCTGTAAGCAAATTTTCTTGCACGCTTTATATACTCAATTTTGGATAGGATTTTCTAATCCTCCCTTTTCTTCTTACTCTGCAGGTCTGACGTTGAAGAAGGAGGAGAAACAGTTTTCCCTGATGCCAAGGGTAACATTAGTGCCGTCCCTTGGTGGGATGAGCTATCCGAATGTGGAAAACGCGGATTGTCTATAAAACCAAAAATGGGCGATGCATTGCTTTTCTGGAGCATGAAACCAGACGCAAGTCCAGATCCTTCCAGTTTGCATGGTGAGTAACCGAGAACAAAACCGTGGGTTATTGACACACTTAAGTCTCGTAAATGTAGTAGTTCTGTCAAGTCGACGTGCACTTGACTGGATCAATAAAGCTATATCTGATTCTCATATCTTTTGACAGGTGGTTGCCCCGTTATAAAGGGTAACAAATGGTCATCTACAAAATGGATGCGCTTGCACAAGTATGATACATAAACTGTGCAAACGGTAAAATTCGTTAACCAGACTACACGCGAATATTGTGGATGGCAATTGTGCCTGTTAGCATAATATGGTTACTGTGTTTACGTTTTGACAGATAGGGAAATATGGTTTTGGATGAACTCAGTTTCTGTGCTGGAAAATGGGTATGGGTATCAAGAGAGCCTTCTTCTCAAGTCCTTTCATGGCTCTTCAAGTCTCTGACACTCTTATAGCTACAGAAAACCGGCAAATAGGGTAGAGGATATAGAAACAGAAAGACCAAACTTAAAGCATATAGTGTACAATTTTTACTATGTTTTCCAGTGAGCCCTTTCATGTTGTCATTCAAAGCATAAACTGTACAATTTTTAGTATTTTTTTTTTTTTTTTTTAATTTTTTGGTGTCTTTCTTGCTTTTTCAAATGGGTTGGGTAGGGCTTCTTTTCTTGGATTGAGAGATGAAATGACAATTTTACTCCATCCCAGACCAAGCTCTCAGAGAGTCAGAGAGAATAATTTCGTTGTCTGAGCTAGGACAAAAAGTAAAACACTTCAAAATGGAATAAAAAAATATTAATGACAAAATATAAAACATAATTAATTAAATAAAATAATTCAAACAGATTACACATTATAAATTTTGCATCATTTTTATTGATAAATACTTTTCTTTGAATATGATTAATGGATATATTAGCAATGGGTTCGGGACGAATCGACCCGAAGAGGAATTGGCGCGGCATGAGGGGTCAAGGGGGCCCGGCACTGGTCGACCTCGGTCAAGGTCGACCCCGGCTAGAGGTCGGCGTCGACCCCGTCTAGAGGTCAACGTCAACCCCGGTTGGGGTCGACCTTGGCCTCAGCCGGACCTCGATTGGGGGCTGACCTCAGTCAGGGTGACCACGACCCGAGGGCTAGTGGCGGAAGGTGGCCTCGGTGGAGGCGTCCTAGGCCTTAAGTGTACAAGTGGACCTAGTCAAATGTGATCCAACCGCCCACCCTATTCTTAACCGGCGGTTGGGTGGTCCGTCCCCTTAACTTTAATAAAGCAGTAAAAATTCGTCATAGACTCATTTTCACTATTCGTAGGAGGGTTGGAGGGTACCCATCCAGCCTCTCCGGCTACCCTAAGGGGGCACGAGGTCCGACCTCGCGTACCAACCCCGACGGAAGAGCTTAAACGGCCCAAGTCCGGTGACTTGGTGTCGAAGGGTTACCCTAAGGGGGCACAAGGTCCGACCTCACGTACCAACCCCGACGGAAGAGCTTAACGGCCCAAATCCGGTGACTTGGAGTCGAAGGGCTACCCTAAGGGGGCACGAGGCCCGACCTCGTTGGCTACCCGACGGAAGAGTCTAGCGGCCCAAGTCAGGTGACTTGGGGCCGACGGACTACCCTAAGGGGGCGCGAGGCTCGACCTCGTTGACCACCAGACGGAAGGGTGCTCGGAACAAGGGGTACCCTTGACGGAAACACCACGCCAATAATAAAAAAAAAAAAAAAAAAAAAAAAGAGTTCGTCCATGGCGGGAGGTCCGACCTCCAAGTGCAACCTGGGCATCCTGGGACAAAGGGCGACCCCACGGGCTAGCCCATGGCAAGAACACGACAAACAAAAGCGCACGAAGGAGTCCAAGACTTGTTGATGTTCTTACAGAAGAGGAGTCTCAATCGCGTTAAAATTATGTTGAAATCTGCTAGAAAGGGAGGGGGCAAGGCGGACGTCCCCCTCGCGGGCTTGGGGTCGACCTTCGACTCGGACTACTCTCCTTCGTTGACGATGTAACATCCCACTTTTCTATCTCTTAATCACAACTCTAATCCAACATTAACATAAACTAAGCAGCGGAATTAATAACTAAAAAGATAACTAGTGGGAATGTCACCGCCACAACCACCACTCCGTGGTGATTGCACAGGCTAAGAGGTAGAACTAGAAATAAAATAAATATCTTATATCAATATTAAATACTGAAAAACATAAGGGGAAAAGTCACCCCAAAAGTTTACATCTTCGAAAGTCTACAAATCAACATAAGTCTAGAATCTGGAAACAAAGTCATCAACATAACTAGAGTTTAGACATCTCAACTACGAGACTAATCTAACTCGATCTCTTCTCACTGCAGGGCCCACCTGAAAGGAGTTTTGCAAGCAACATATAGACAAATAGAAAAACACTCGTTAGCACGAAGCTAAGTATAACCACACTCAACCCTGTAAAGCATTATAGCATATACTTTGAAAACATTTGATTTCTCTTGTAACAACAAACTCATCTCAAATCATCTTTAGATCTATCACATACTTTGTAGATGCTTGCAACCTATAATATCAACTGGCATGCTTATATATAAGCAGGGCCGTCCCTGGGCAAGTCTGCCCAGGGCCGGCGCACAGGGCCCCCAAATTTTCGGGGCCCCTTATTTAAAAAAAAAAATAATAATATAGTATGTATATATATATATTAGTGATTCCTCATTCCAACGAATTAGCGATCAGCATTAATTCAAATAAAGCTAAGCCGACAAACTTATTAACCTAACTAAAGTCCCTAATCTAGCGACTTGCGTACGAATTACGACGATAGACAAACGAGACTACAAATTTACAGAATTACAGAGACTACAGATTTGCATGAGAGATCAGAGATTACAGATTTACATGAGAGATCAGAGATTACAGATTTACAGTGGCCCTGTTTGGTAAAATAGCTGTTAGCTGTTAGATGATTGTGTTAATTAGAGAGTATAAATAGTTGATAACATTAGCTAATTGTAGAAAAGTGTTTGGTAAATTAGCTGTTAGCTGATAGCTGTTTGGTATAATTTTTTTTTCTCAAAAAGCTAATTGAAAAAGTTACTTGGAGTAGCTTTTTGAATTTTAGCCTTTTGGAGTTGCAAAAATCTAATTAACCAAACATTTATATTGATATTTTAACTAAATCAAACAATTAATAGTGGTCAAATAAGCCAAAATTGACCTATAGGCCAATTTTTTACCAAACACGGCCAGTCTACACCTAGGTATTTGTCTATTTGAACTAATTTAAATATTTAATTTGAGTTTTTAATTTGAGTATTTGAATAGTGATGTTTGTGAGTTACTGATTATGCAAAATTAAAAATTAAATTTGTCAATTTGGAATTCTCAATTCAGTCAATAAGTTAGCAAAGATGACAATTTGCAAGCATCACACAATTTAATTTTGTTCTTTGTCCAGGCAGTGCAATTTAATGTATAGACGCAAAGACGATGGATTCAGCTCGTGTGCTATTGATTTTTCAATTCCTTTTTTATTATACAAACTTTAAAGTTCTTCAATTCTCTTAACGTGTAACTAAAATTACGTATTGTTTCACAATTCTGGTTTATTGTGTTATTTATCTTACTTAATAATTCTGATTTCAGAATAATATATTCAATAATTCGTTTCTTGATTAATTATTTATTCGTAGAGTTTCTAAATAAATTTTTATTTTTCTTAGGATTTTATGTCTTCTAGAAAATATTCATCTGGGTTTGAGAAGCGTAAAAAGAAAAGGAGAATTGAGCAACCAACTCAATCTCAAAAGGGAGCTGTTGAAAAATTCATTAGATGATGTTGGTCACGGTGATAAACCAAATGATTCGCTTTTATTTGACATATATGATCTAAGAAATTGGGATGCCCTTGATTCTAAATTAATAGATATTCTTATGAAAGATGTCCTAAAAGAGATTTATCAATAAATAAATGTCCTAAAGATAAATTCTCTACAAGATTTTCATCAGCATTTTACATAAAGATAAATTCTCTAGAAGATTTTCATAAGCATTTTACAAAATATTTATATTTTGAATTTTTGACACAACTTTTTGAACAACTATTATTTATATATAAAAATTACTTGCAAAAGGGACCAAATTAAGTATTGCACAGGACCCCAATTTTGATTGGAACGGCGCTGTATATAAGACTAAACACTTAGATACTTCAACACATAAACTTCTCAATTAATTTAACAAGCAACTCATGCTCACAGGTATAATCATGCTGATAAACCATATAACAGGTATTCTCATGCTCTCACATTCTCATCACATAACTTGATATACAAGGCTTCAAATATAACAAAACAATCATGCTCGATGAACAATCTTAAATCAACATTCTCATTATGTAATCTCATGCGATACACTACTCAAATGCAATCTCGTGCAATACTATACATCATACTCATATGCAATCTCGTGCAATACTATACATCATATTCATATGCAATCTTGTGCAATACTATACTCGTACTCATATGCAATCCCGTGCAATACTATAATCATACTCATATGCAATCTCGTGCAATACTATAATCATACTCATATTCAATCTCGTGCAATACTATACAAATACTCATACACTCTTTATAAAAATAGAGTACTTTCTGTGGAGGTCTATTTCTTACTTTCTTTCTTACTTTTGAGTCTCTCTTGACTCACTTTCTTTCTCTTTGAGTCTCTCTTGACTCACTTTCTTTCTTTTGAGTCTCTCTTGACTCGCTTTCTTTCTCTTGAGTCTCTCTTGACTCGCTTTCTTTCTCTTGAGTCTCTCTTGACTCACTTTCTTTCTTTTACTCATAGACGGCTTAGGGTTTCACCGAAGCGTGAATTACCCCATCGGGAGCGGCATAAATCCGACCCAATATCTCCTACCGTCTACGGAACCAATCTCGTGGTTCTCTCTCCGTGGAATCAGGTATCGAACTATTAGTGTGCACACCCCCTGACCAGGATTCCAAGCCTGGCGGGCAGTTTCCAACCTCGTAACGTGGGAATACGCCGCGTTACATATACTAGGACCGCAATGTCCATAAATATATCCCGAGAGGACATAGTCTAACCGGTATCCTCCAAAACCTCACCAATATAGATAATACATAGATATATCTCTCATGCATGAAACAACTCTACTACTTCTCAATGCATCAAAGAATGATATACCACATGCTTATGGTTTTTGAAAATATTACTTGGGCTCACGTTGGCCCCTTATGCATTTTTGAAATATGACATATGTGAGATGCCAAATATTCTATAACATGTTTCTAAACCATGTATAAAATAACATGAAGTACTCAAGAATATAACGTCATGCTCGATTTGCAACATGGCAAATTCTATACATTTCTAACAACAAAATACGCTTCGAATCTCATTGATCAAATATCACATTCTAGTCATGCTTTCATAATAAATCATATTCTCAAAGGATCATGCTTTCTCTACTCAATACAAAAATATCAACAGATCAAATTATCAAGCATTTCTTATACACAGTGAACTTAGCCAAATATATACTGTGTAGCAAATCCTTCATAACTTACTCATTTTTTATCCAAATTCCACGAAATCAAAGCCAAAACGTGCGTCGAGACGAACCCGAAGAGCCGAGCCACAAGGACCCGTAACACTCAGCCCGAAACGACACGTAGCTGAGCCACAAGGGCCCGACCACTGCACAAATTCTTCTCAGATCAAAACTCAGGGACCTGGGGCGGGACTCCTCAAGAGCCGCCCCATGTGCCCCGTTACACCATCGGGTCTAGGCAGCGACCCTCCTCTAGGGCCGTGCCCTAGACCTGTGTAACCCCGGCTCTAGCCGGCGGCCCTCCTGATGGGCCGCGGCTAGGGCCGCTGGTCTGATATGTGTGTGCACCAGATGGCATTTCATCTTCAAACTCAAACCAAACAAGTCCAAAACATTCTCAACAACTCAAAGACAAATACTAGATCACTTCTAAGCATAAACACAACAAAATCTCATAATTTCTACTCAATAACAAGGCTTCACAAAGCCAAATTCAAGAAGGAATCCATGGGGTTATACCTCTTGTAGCTTCTTCTTCTTGTGTGGATCCCTTCTCCTTTCCCTTTCAGAGATTACTACCTTCCCCCACCTAGCTTCCTCAAACAAACATACATGCATGCTAAGCTTAAGGCAACTCAAAGATGGGAGGTAAAGAATGAACAAAGTCTGTGAAATGAAAATGAAATGGATGGAGGAATGAATAGCAGAACACTTACTGTGATTTCTTCTAAGGCTTGGGGTGAAGAGGCAAATGGAATGGATTAGGAGAAACAAAGAGAATATGTTCTATTTATATGGGTTCAAAATCCTATGTAGGTGGCCAATGATTGGTTGGGGGCAAAAAGGAAATTTTAGCTTGCTCTCTAAAGTATCAGACAAAGCTTTGTGGTTCACCCTGTATCATGGACCAAGGGCTAGAAATGCTATTTTTAAATACTTTGAGGTTGAAAATGAATTTTCTCAAAGAGTCTTCTAGACGAACACTTGTTTAAGGCTTCTAAAAATTCTCCCGGTCTCACTCAGATTGGTTTCTCAATTTAAAGCTTGGTACGCGAAGTACCCGAAAATTTAGGATTTTGGATTAAAAATAAGTTTTGGTGTTGAATTAATTTAAAATGTGACTAAAATAATTTATTCAAACACCAATTGATCACAAAAATTTTTAATGGAGTGAAAATGACTATTTTGGAATTTCTTAAAATTGGATTTATAAAATAAAATTTTGGGTTGTTATAGACGAAGGCTCTCAACTCTGAGAGTGGGGGACTGATGATGGATATATTAGCAATGAGCTCGGGGCGAACCGACCAGGAGAGGAGTTGGCGCGGCATGAGGGGCCAAGGGGGGCCCCGGCACGGGTTGACCTTGGTCAAGGTCGACCCCGGCTAGAGGCGGACTTCGCCCTCGCGGGCTTGGGGTCGACCTTCAACTCAGGCTACTCTCCTTCGTTGACGAAGACTCGCAACTCGGAGAGTGGGGAACTGATGATGGATATGTTAGCAATGGGCTCGGGCTAACCGACCTGGAGAGGAGTGGGCGCGGCATGAGGGGCCAAGGGGGGCCCCGGTATGGGTCGGCCCCGGCTAGAGGCGGACTTCCCCCTCGCGGGCTTAGGGTCGACCTTCGACTCGTGCTACTCTCCTTCGTTGATGAAGACTCGCAACTCGGAGTTTGGGGGCTGATGATGGATATATTAGCAATGGGCTCGGGGCAAACCGACTCGGAGAGGAGTTGGCGCGGCATGAGGGGCCCCGGCACGGGTCGACCTCGGTCAAGGTCGACCCCGGCTAGAGGTCGGCATCGACCCCGGTTGGGGCCGACCTCAGCCAGGGCGACCACGACCCGAGGCTAGTGGCGGAAGGTGGCCCCGGTGGAGGCGTCCTAGGCCTCAGGTGTGCAAGTGGACCTAGTCAAAGGTGATCCAACCGCCCACCCTATTCTCAAGGGGCGGTTGGGCAGGAGCTTAGTATATAAGGAGGCATCCTTGTCTTATTTAGGACAACTATTACTACCTTGTTTGAATATTACATATTCCTTGTAATTCTCCTACAAAATACTATCAATACGAAAGTTGTCCCCGCGACATATATTCATTGCCTTTTCCTATTGTCTTTATTACTGCATCATTCTAGTCCTTTTATTATCGGGTTTAATTATCCGGGCTACCCCATGATAATTAAATCCATCAATGATAATGCACAATAAAAAATGTTTAAACTACATTGACTATATGCTTTATAAAAAAAAGTAGACTTTCTTTTAAAATATTTTCGAATCACCAATCATATTTCATATTAATTAATTTATCAATTTAAATAACTATTACCACAAATAACACTAAATTAGAATATACGAACGGTCTACTCTATAGTATACGGTCCCAGGTCGGTTCTGAGCTCGCATCCCATGCCTAGTTTGCTTGTGGTTTAAGTCTTTAGGCTCGGATTACGTGACAGTGGGTCAGAAGTTGCCGAGCTAAAGATCAGTTAGTAGAAAATGTCAAAAGTCTCTCTCTCAATAGTAAATGTGGTATTTATAGTCATATGTGGAGAATAGGTTCCGGTCCTACGGCATGAAAGGCACGTGGAGCCCATGCACAAGCTCAAATTGGGTCCCGAGGGGCTCATACATGTACCTTAATGTTTATGCAGGTAAGCATCGTATGTCGGGTCCAAGTCGGTAGCTCGTCCGTGACCTAAATAGGTCGGGTGTGTGTCGAGTCCTGATGGGCCTGTGTGGGAGGTAATTATAACCGCTCGGTAGCCAAAGTTGGTCGAGCGAAATAAGGATAGGTCGTGCTTATCTCGGGTAAGGGACCTGATACCGACCATTGTATAAGCGATGTTATCGAGAAATATTTCCCATTAAACACAATATAAATCTCACAAATAATAATAGTAATTTTATTATTTTGATATGACTCCACCTCTAATGACCCTTTCATGGCGGAATCAATGGCGGTGAAGGAAGCTCTCAAATGGTTGAAGATTAAACAATTTAATAATGTTATTCTTGAAACTAATTGTTTAAATTTCTGCTCAGCTTTTAATTCCTACAATTTGAACCTTTCCTATGTTGGTTTGATCGTAAAGCAATGTCGTGTGCTTGCATCAGACATTGGGAACCTTTGTGTTCGCCGTCAACATGTCAGCGAATCATATAGCTCACGTTTTAGCACGGGCTTCTGATTCTTTGTCTGCCTTAGGTTCGTGATTTACTGTGTCACCGGCCTGTATCTCATCCCTTTTTTATGCTTAATGAAATTTCAACTTTTCCTTTAAAAAACAGTAATTTTCAAATTTTGATATGACTCAACCTCTAAACCCACCCATAATGACAACTACTTAACAACCACCAATTAGGCCATTTCATTATTCAGAAACAAGCATATATATGACTTATTAATATATAAAAACTTCTAATATATATATATATATATATATATATATATATATATAGAAAAACGCTCATATGTGGTCATGTCATTAGGTGTGGTCGTGTGGTCGTATCTGTGTCGTTGAATCAGTTTAATCTAAAGGCAGTGGTAATTCTGAGAATTTTTGCGCGTTTTAGTAAGTGGGGGTGTTATGGTAATTACAGTGACCATTTATAGCGGGCGGGTTCCAGAATACACCAACAGTGTTGACAACATACACCAATAGTGTAATAAAACACACCACAGTGAAACACACCAATGGTGTATTCCCGTGTTATGGTAATTACAGTGGCCATTTATAGCGGTCGGGTTCCAGAATACACCAACAGTGTTGACAACATGCACCAATAGTGTAATAAAACACACAACAATGTGATTTTCCCTATTCCGGTGTTTTATGACAAGATTACCCTTACAGTTCGCTGGGTAGTAGAATGTGCGCGAAAATACTGAAAAAAATCTTGATTAATATGATTCATTAGATCTATCTAATCTAATGGTCTATAATTGACCATAGGACCACACCTAACAACATGGCCACATGTGATCACTCCTCTATATATATATATATATATATATATATATATATATATATATATATATATATATATATATATATATATATATATATATATATATATATATTTTGAATCCAGTGCACCCCCTATTCAGGTGAGTTCGTGAGCATCAATCCTGAGCATTCGTTTTGTTATTTTAATGGTTTAGATTTATCAATTGTTTTAAGTAATACGCGCTATTTTTTAACCTGCTGAGGGGTGTTTGGGTAATTTCGTATTGGCATTAATTTGTTACCATTTACACACCGTGAATTTTCTTTCTTTCATTATTTCCTATGTATCGAGATTCCCAAATTCTTCCGATTTCCTCTCGTTCTCTTCGCCTCCTCCCGTCTCTCTATCTCTCTGAACAACCAATCTTCGAACCAATCTCTAAAGCCGTTTCCTCGATCGGATTCTCCATAGATTGGTCTTCCATCCGATGGTCAAAGCGTCGGAAGAGGGAGGCTACCGGTGGTGTTCAAGGTATTCCTAAGTCTTTTTTTTTTATTCGTATTTTTGTTTCTATCATTTTGTTCGAAGATTAGTTCGACGGTGGTCTTGAATGAACAGTCGCAGCCCAGGCCGGGAAAGGGTGTCACCAATACCTGTGAGGTCTGTGAGCGCAGCCTCCTTGATTCCTTCCGCTTCTGCTCTCTCGGCTGCAAGGTATTCTTATTTACTACATTTTTTCTAAAGATTTTCTTGCTTTTAATCCGGGTTTAATGTCGTTTCTCGGTTTGATTATCTGCTTTTACTGCTTCAAGCCTTCAATGCTTGATTGCTTGAGAAAAATCCAATCACATTAAGGAAAAGATTTGAGAATTTGGGCGTAAAGATCTTGATTTCTGGCGATTTTGTTTACAAATTTCTGAGAATTTTGGGTTTCTGGGCATTCATTACATGTGAGATTTGAGATTTGAGAATTTTGTTTACAAATTTCTGAGAGGCTTTAGTTTGTGCATCATGGGTTATTTGAATATAAATGTGCATTTCTTATTGAGTTTTTTCATGTTCAAAGTGCAGCAGCTTACAGCTAATAATCCTTGAAATCTAATAAAACTGCTGCATTACTTTGTTTCACAGAAGTGCAAAAATCTATACAAACAAATTTAAATAATAGCCATATAGGTATAGAACTGATATGATACAGGAGAAATGAGGTCATCACAAGTAAATTATAATGGCAACACTTCCTTTCCTGATAGACGATTCAACAATGGGTAGGACTACCGAATGCAATCAGGGACTGACGGCTTTGGGTTTAGATAGCTACTTTTCGTTCAAAAGACAGCATAGCATAACAACATTGGATTGAGACGTTGTTAACAGGCCGGGCAGGATTTGTACTGGTTAAACATCAACCCCATGTGTGTCGTCTTATTGCTTAGCTCAAGCACACGATAATGTCTCCATTCATGCCTGGGTATCGCGCAAGGCTGCAGCTATTTTACTAAATTGCGGCTGCAAGGTACGGTGTTGCAGCAAAATGAGTTAGTTAAACAGCCAGCCAGCCAGCCATGTGTACAAATCAATATATAAGTATTCTCATTTCTCAAATTCAGAATTATTATGCAAATTCCATTTCATCATATCATAGAATACAGATAAATAGATAGATGTTCTTTAAGAAATCCCACTTCTTAAGAAACACATTGACTTGTCACTTACCTTTATATTCATTACAGATTGTTGGGACATCCAAGAACTTCGTGAAGAAGCCGAAGCACTTCTCGGAGAAGAAGAGGGTGGCGGCGGCTTAACTGGTTAGTCTGTATTAACTGGTTTGTGTATTCAGAGGCTTTAGTTTGTGCATTTTGCGTATTCAGTCTGGTTTGCACATTGTTGGTGGATTCCTGGTTTGTGCATTGTTGTGTGTAACCCTGTGCCTGTTATGCGTTTTGAGAATTGATATTACAATGTTTTTTTTTTTTTTTTTTTTTTTTTTGTTTAGCTGTGGAATGGCTTTGTTGATTGTTTTTTGTCCTTTTGGTGTAGGGGTAGGAAGCTGAATGTTTTTTATTACTATTTTTGGTGTGTTCCTGCTCGGTTTTTAGTTCATTGGTATGGGGTGTAGCAAAGGCGTGTGAGTGTGCATTGGTAGGCTTTAGTTTGTGCTTATTGCGTGTGTCACTCTGTCTATTATGAACTGCGTTTTTAGCTTCTTTGGTCTGCTTGTGATTGGTTTAATTCTCTTTGTTTTTGGGTGTTATTTTAAGTATATTTGCATTTTTTAGTGGTTATTATATATTTTAAGTATATTCATTATGCCATGTGTAGGTGATGGTGTTCCTGAGCCCGTTTGTGTAGCTGATCCGGTGGCACCTTTGCCACATCCGGAAACAGTAGGAGTGGCCGAAGAACCCGATCGGCCAGCGACTTTGCCACAACCTGAAGCAGTTGAAGTGCCCCAAGCCCCGATCACCCGGCGCGCGATGTGGGTGGGTCAATGCGTATCTCTGCCTCAGAGTGTGCTTGGTTTTGTAATGTAATGCTTGGTTTTGTAATGTAGTGCAGTGTGTTATTTAAATGTTCAATATTGTACAAATTGCATATCAATGATTCACCATAGTAGGTATACTTTGATTTATGATCCATTCTTGTGTAATTTAGGATGTATGTGTTACTTTAAATTTTTCATATGCCATAGCTTATTCATAGATTATTATATCGTTTGTGCATATAGAGGGCCTGGTATGTGCATATTGATATTCAGTGTGTTATAAACATGTTTTTTGTATTAAATAATACCACGGTATTTTTAGTCATTGGTATGTGCGTAGCAAAGGCGTGTGAGTGCATTGAAAGGATTTAGTTAAATAATACCACAGTGTTTTTAGGGTAATTGGTATGTGCGTAGCTGGCGCGTGTTAGTGTGCATTTTCCGGTCTGTGCGTGTGTGTATATAGATTGTGCATAATACGCTTTCGGTACATAAACAATGCCAATTTTCCCTAAAAGCTATATAGGCGATATGCACAGGCCTATATCCTCATACGCACTTCACACTGTAACTTTCATCAATACAGTGATATTAGTTGTACTCACCGTACTTACCCTCCCTCACTGTTCTAGTTCTTTAAAAAAATTCGACCAAACCAATTTAACATTATAACATTCAACGCACATACTATTTGATGTCTACGCATCATCCCGCCATCCTATCGGTCAACAAATAACCATGTACGCACCCACCTGAACACGAACACGCTACGCGCGTCAATGGACTACTACTTCGTCCAACAACCACACCCCCCTCCCACCCCCACCGGGGAAAAAACCCCATTCTTCAGTATATGCACAGACGTTGACATGTAAATGCACAGGCCTATTTCTTCATATGCACATGCCTCTTTCTTCATATGCACATGCCTATTTCTTCATATGCTTTTGTTTTTTGTACAGGCGATATGCACAGGCCTATTTCTTCATATGCTTTTGTTTTTTGTATTTGGTGTGTGCATTGGAGTGTTATGATGTGTACAATAGACCACATGATTCAAAGTTCCATTGCCAACATAAAAATGCACACACCAGTGTAAAAACAAAACTAAAAAAACGACATGATGCTAAGTTCATTTTCCAAAAATTTGCAAACGCCAAATCATACAAATGCACACACCACCGTTTAAAAAAAAAAAAAAAAACCTATTAATTTTTACAATATATTCCTTGTAAAACAAGCCAACCACAAGAAATCACGCACAAGAAAAGGCCAGTGCATATAGTGGTTACATATTATAAGGATTGTGGTTGTGATTTTTTTTTTTTTTTCACAATCTTTCACAGGCGAAATACACTCATTGTTGTCTATGCATCCTCCCGTCAACCTATCGGTTTCACAAACAGACCTGTATGCAACCACCTGAACACGCACACGCTACGCACATAACAGATATTCTAGTTCGTCCATCAACCCCCACCCCCCTCCCACCATCCTAGCGGAAAAAACCCCAATATTCAGCGTATGCACAGACGATGGCACGTAAATGCACTTACCCGTTCATTTTCTCCTCAAGCCTTGTTCACACCAAGTTCACCTCATCATCAGCCTTTGTAGTAATTCAAAGTATTAAATTCCATCCATAAACTCCCTAATTTAATGCTATAGATTCTAATAATATTATGTCCATAAATAAATTAGAATTACAATTACTAATATATCCTTTACATTGGAAAATGTCCTTAATTACTATCCTAATCTCTTATAATCTCAACCATTGATGGAAATTGAATCAATGGATATTAGGAGACCTCATGGTCTCATCTATTAGAGGGGGTGCACCGGATTCGAAGCCTCTATATATATATATATATATATATATATATATATATATATATATATATATATATATATATATATAAAGTTTTCTAAGGAAGTTAAATTCATAAAATTTGAAGAAAATGTTAATTTCTATTGTTTGATTTATAGAGTTTATTTTCCAAATAAAATAAATTCCTCACAATTCAATTTCCGATCAAATAATGAAATTAATCTTCTTCATAATTTTTTTCCATGAAATTTCAATTCTACTTTTTCAAAATATTTTTCGCAAATCAAATGGTTGTAAGAGGTGGGGGAGGGGAAATTGAGGATATTGCCATCTTTTTCTTCCGTCCCTATCCCACGACCTCGTACTATTTGATTCTTATTAGTTTTTTATGGGACTCGCAAATTAAAAAAAAAAAAAAAAAAAAAAAAAAAAAATTCTCTTGCAGCACGTCAGGCACACCATTCGCACCCGTGCACGCGTGAATACTTTTTTTTTATTATTGTTTTTTTTTTCCTTCTCCCTTTTCTTCCTCGCTTTCCTCTCTCTCGTAATAACATGTAAAAATTAAGAAAAAATTAAAACTCTTAAGGATGATCTTATTATTATTAATATATATACCTGGGTATAAAATATGTGATGACAAACCTGTACTTCAATCTCTCACACTTGCAATAATGCAATCTGTGTTGAAAGTGAAAAGACACAACAGAACAGTCTCCCAGTTTGTTGGGATCCGACGGATTGACAAATTAAAACACCACAGAGGATCTGGCCTCAATGGGATCATCACTTCAACTACAAATCCAACTGCGCACTTCTGTGCATGTCTGTGCCTTTTTTTTTTTAATTTTTTTGTCAGAAAGATATTATGGTCAAACAACATAACTGTGATTTTTTCAAATAGGAGGTCATAAGTTCGAATTCCAATGCAGTCCTGTAGAGATATTGAATCTGTGTGCTTCAATAAATTTAGAAAGTATATATAGATAAATACTATTTCTAATATTGTAACAGAGCGAATAGCAATTTAAAAAAAAATATATATATTATTTCCAGTTTTACCAAGATTCATTGACAATTCCAGAGTGCCGGTGGCAACTGGCAAGGACTGTACTACTTTTCCACATGAAGCACCTGCCACTTGTTGAAATCTTTTATGCTTCCATCATATTGCCTACCTTTACTCCAACCATAAATCGGTCCGTAAACCTTAAAGTCATGAAACAATTACTCCGTAACAACTATCCCAAGTTATTAGTTGTTGGAATGAAAAATCTACACCAAATAATGATAGAATTTCTACATTCGTTGATAAGTTTGAATTCTTTAAATCTTTCAAAATTTAGGTCAAGTTGATTTTTTCTTTTTTCTTTTTGTTTTTAAAAATACATTATAAATCATTTATATAAATATATATATTTCACAGCCTCGTTCAAACTCATACAATTAATATGTTTGCTCTCCATCATCACTAAGATACAATAATGTCCCTGTTTAGTAAAAAATTGGCCTATAGATTAATTTTGGCTTATTTAATCACTAATAATTGTTTGATTTAGTTAAAATATTAATATAAATATTTGGTTAATTAGCTTTTTGCAACTTCAAAATGCTAAAATTCAAAAAGCTACTCCAAGCAATTTTTTCAATTAGCTTTTTCATAAAAGAAATTATACCAAACAGCTATCAGCTAACAGTTAATTTACCAAACACTTTTCTACAACAGCTAATGTTATCAACTAATTATACCCTCTAATTAACACAATCAGCTAACAGCTAACAGCTAACAGCCATTTACCAAACGGGGCCAATATATTTCTATATTTATTCAACTAAAAAAGTGTTGCTAAGAATTTTGTATTTTTTTTCATATTATTGCTTTTGTAGGTGGGGGTGAGGTGAGGGGGGGGGGGTGGATATCAAGTACATGCATCGTCCTATTTCAAACCCCATCCACTTCAATTACCAAAGGGCCCCTTGCAAGACTTTGAATTCAAGAGTTGCAAAATGTTGGACCATTTTATAACATACGTCATAATCCGAATGAATGTTCTCCCCACGATGTAATTTGAAACTTTCCTCTTAATTGTACGCGCTCGATCTAAGCTTCGTATTCAAGTTGTATTACGTTACTTGTTGGTATGTTAAATTATTACTTGTTCAAATAAATTAGACTAATCACAATTATAGAACTCTATTTGACATTGTTGAGCATATAATGTATAAATATAAATGTGCAATTTAACTATCAGCGTAGGCTTTTAATTAGTTGAGATGGAGCACACGCTTCAATTTGGTATACATAACTTAAAGCTAAAAATTTAAGAACTAATAGCTATTAACTTATTTTAAAACAATACATTTAATTAAATATGTAGCGTTTCAAATAAGCTATTATTTTAAATTCTCTATATTTTGCCAAACAAAATTTATAATTTATTTGTAG